AGGGGACTCATCTAGCCTTCCAAGGCCTCCTTGCTCCTCGAGACCTCAACTCATCCTGATTGTGTTCCAAATACCACTCAAAGCCTTCAGCCTGAAGAACCAGTCTTCACCCTCTACTCAACCTGCTCCTCTGTCCAGTGGTGCTCACCTCTATTCCTTTACAGACCTCCTGGAACCTAGGACCTCAGAGATCTCCCCATTGGCTCCAACTACAAGAAAAATATCTTCAGTAAGAGAATCCAACTCCACAACTAAATTAATGATTCTTCATAGACATTTCCAAATACTCAAATTGTCCCTTCATCATTTTCAGCTCAAACCCCCGCACCTCGCACAGTGATTGCTGGACATGGGCACCAGCGACCCCCGTGACCCAAAGTGGAATAAGCGGGTAAAGATAATGGATGGATGGATGAAATGAAAAAAATGATCAAGGACTGTTGAACAGCTAGAATCCTCTATCAGACAAGAATGAGAACATTCTCCTTCAAAATGTCTGACAGCTGGTCTCTGTAAATGTTTAGACTGTTGTTAAACGACGAGGGGATGCCTTGCTGTGGAAAACAGTCCCGTCCCAAAATTTTTAAGCTATCAAATTCAAAACTTCCATATTTCTTGCCCATAAATTATACAATTTCTTAGTTTCAACATCGGAAATGTTTCATATACTGTAAACCAGTATAAATATGGTGTTATGAGATTTGTAAATTATTGCATTTTCTTTTGTTTACATTTTACTCAATGTCTCAACTTTTTAAAATTTGAGCTTGTAGCCAGAATAATCTAAAATGCTTCTGCTCTTTACAAAATAGTAGTATGTCACAGTATGTGTACTGTCAAACATTCAACGGAGAAACAAATATTTGTCACCAAGACAATTGCTATGATTAAGACAGGAAACACAACAAAAACACACATTCATCAGATTTGTCATGCTAAAAGTTAAGGGCCACAAACAGATTCACATCAGCATAAAAACTGAATAAGAAGCAATAAATAAAATGTTGCATCTTGTAATTATGTTCTTGTTTATACTCTGTATAGTGATCCATGTGATCTGTTGCTGTTTTATATTCTTGTCACTAGATGGCGTATGTGTGACAGAGTAGGACAGAAGAGACTGTTAAAGAAAATAGAGTAAGATAACATCATATTCTGGGGGCCCTTCAGTACAACAATAAAGTTTGTGAGTTTATCCTTTGTTTTACAACCTCCACATTATATTATAATATCTATCAGAAGCTAATGACTGGTTTATAAGTTCCTCACATTTTTTCTTTATTAGTCATTATTTTTAATTCCATAATTATGATAAAGAAAAGTCATAATTTTGAGAACACACGCCGTAATAAATTTATTTAATGAAAAAAAAAGGTGCAGTTTGAACCTGAAATAGCAGAAGAAAAAAAATCACTGTTTATCCTCACACACGCACACACACACACACACACACACGCACGCACACACACACGCACACACACACACGCACACACGCACGCACGCACGCACACACACAAGAATGGAATATTATGGAAGTAATATGGCCTCAAAACATTCACAAACCCGTATAGTATGGAAGTAATATTCCATAGAAACGTTAACTGCATTAAAACCAAAACTCTTAAATACATATTTTTTAAACAGACTCATTATTAGTTTTAACATAAAAACATGAATTAAAAAAGTTCAATTATTGCAAAGCGGTTTTAAAAAAACTCAAATCATGGAGCTGAGTTCCCTCTATAAATTTATTCAGTCACTTATGTACTGATATAAAAATCAGGACGTTGATTTTTCTTTGTTTGTTTGTTTGTTTGTTTGTTTTTATACAGGTAAAGGTACACAACTCTAAAAACTGGTCTGCAACCCATTTTTGGTTGGACATCCATCCATCCTTCCATCCTTCCATCCTTTCATCCATCCATCATCTTCACCTCTTCTTCCTTTTCGGGTCACTGGTGTCACTGGTGTCACTGGTGTCCTGTCCATCACAGGAACACCGAGACAAATGAGACAAACCCATCCATGAGACGAATCACAGACTGGGACACTGTTTTTGTCATGTGATGGCAGGAATGTTTCCAGGGCCCTGAGAGTTCAGCAGGTGTCATGTTCGACCATATGAGAACCACATGTCGCTTCAGATCGTGAGTGTCACAGGAGGATTTGTTGGTTTAATACCAACAGATTGCTTAAGTTGACTCATGAACTAGTTAAACCACAGAGGACTTTTTCTGGATGTACTGGTTGGACAACACCTACACCTGTATTTGCTTGTACATGCTCACGAGGCCAAATGTAGGAAATGTCCTCTTTAAACACGATAGCACGTCACGAGACAACAGTTAAAGAAGCAGCATACATTTTATTATAATTAATCTACACCCTGCCCCTGTCTGGTTGCTTTTTAACAGCACAAACGCTGACGTTGTCATTTTTAGGTTTCAAGAAAACAGCTTGAAGCTGGTTGTTCCGGACTGCACGTAAACGCGTCACGGGGTTACCTGAAACAAGGTGGGGTTGCCCCGCCTCCTCCTCGGAGGCCACGCCCCTTAGCGCTGGCTCGGCATCGAGCCGGAAGAAAACCGTGCGAGCTGTCAAAGCGGTGAATGAACGGCTCGGCTCGGCGTTTGGACGGAGAGCACCATGCTGGTGAAAGAGTTGTGAGTTTCCGTTCAGCTTCCTCGTCCCTTCTGTTCCACAAGTGGTCGCTCCGCTTCAAAGTTCTTGCGCTTTTAGCCGCTCAGTTGTGTTTGAAGTGTGCGCAAAGTTGTGTCCTGGTTGCATTTGGTTGGTGGTGCTGTGGGATCTCTCCTCGTGATGTTTGAGCTTGACTTGGTTCACTCCGTTTGAAAGTTGAGCAGTTTTACTTCGAAGTGTTGATGAACAAGTATCTGCAGGAGTTGGCTGTAAAACACGACCCGGGTGGAATGTCCCACGGCTCTGCGTGAGTTCGGCTCCGTGTAGACGCGTGTCTGCATCAGTCTGACTGTGACTGGAGAGAGTGCAGTGGTCCACATCAGCTGTGCAGCTGGAGCAGCAGATGGTTCAGGGAGGCCACATGTTGGTACTCACCTTCGTTGTTTTGTGTAAATCACATTTCAGAAATAATGTTTGTGAATGTACAAGTAAAACAACACGTAGAGCATTTTAAAACGATAAGTTCACATGTTGGTGCTCGTGCACGCCTGCCAGTGTAATGACAGTATTGCCATCTGCACATGACTGCTGCGTGCACCTGAGCACCGTGCACAGCAGCCTAGCCTTGTTGAACAGTGAAGGCGGTCAGCTGAGCCTGTTTCATCGCCTGCCTCTAAAAGTCCAGGGCCATCGTATTTTTCTGGCTTGTGTCTGTGCTCCTTGATCTCATGGACCCTTGGACACATTTGACTGAAACTCGCTGAACATAAATCTACAACTAATTAACTTTTGGAGTCAACTACCACCTCTACTCAACGATGGCCAACACAATCATGACTAACTCCGTCACTTTGACGGATACAGATTTAAAACTTGGTGTGGTAGTAGCTGAGAGTCGTCTCCAACAAATGTATATTTGCTTCAAGGAACTTGATGCAAAGTCCTGAAGCTTCCAAGTGGTTGATTCTACCGAGTGCTCCATATTTGTATCATTCCTGGTTGTATTAATTTCAACTCTTTCAAATGGCACCATTTGATATTGCTTGGGATTCCCTTTCATATTTCCTTTCATAAAGTCAGTGAATCCTTTTATTAAAACTTGTTACCAGCCCTGCTTGTAGGCAGAAGAGCTGAAGAAGCACTGGTCAGATTTGAGCAGAAGTCTCCAAGTAATGAGTAGATGCACATGTCACAGGGTCCGCCACAGCTGGCCACCGTTAGCCAACACAGAAACAACTGTAACTCCGTCAGGTTTAGAGATGCTGAGTTAAACGTTTGAGTGGTAGTACCTGAGAGTCATCCTCAACACGTACTCCCAAGTCCCATCACACATCTCATTCCATGTTGTTTACAAGGTAAACATTCACAGGGCACATCTTCATATTGCACGAGATCGAGCATGTTTTCAACGTTTGGTTAAAGTAGTTACAGTTTTGTCACTTTTCAACATAAGCTGGTTAAACGGTTAAAAACCACCCGTGATGAAAGCAGTGCTGATGGATGCGTTCTTTAGCTACGCCTTTCACTTGTCACAGGTCATGCAGCTAGTCGTGGCATGCCCTGAAGGCTGTCCTGTTCTGTCCTCATGGAATATTTACGCCCTGCTAAACTGACGGCGGCTGCAGATTAGCCTCCTGTTGTATGCTGCACAAACACACACAGGCGAGGGTTCCACTCCAAGCCTGTTTGCTCAGTGGCAGCAGAAGTCTCGATGGCTGCTTCATAATTTCCTCTTCCTGCTGCCGTGCTTCCTGTGATCGCGGGACTCGAGCAGAACACACCGTTTGTCCACTTCTCCAGTGTGCACGATATATGGCCCGAATGCAGCAATCTGAGCGGCGCTCTGATTAACAGCATGCTGTTGACTGAGCGGCGTGTAAAGGCCAACAAGGAAGTGACTCGTTATCTTTATGGGCTCCCACCATGGTAAAGGTCTCTTTCACAGGCCAGCTGCTTGCTACAGGAGCTGAGCGCCGAGTCGAGCACGCTGCATGTTTTAAACGTCACTGAGACGGTACAAGTCGGATGACTCGCGCGTGCAGTAAAGGTGTGACACAGGTCACACCTGAAGAAACGCCTGTGTTTCAGGTGTGATTAGGTGGAGATGATGGACAGTCATGGCGTCACAGGAGGAGCTCCAACCAGTTGACGGGACGTCCTCCTGGAGTTCAGACAAAAATGAAGGCTGTGGTGTTGGAGTGTGAGAACTCTGTCGTTTGAAAAACTAGTCTGGCTGGTCTTCGTTTTTGTGCTTTTATGATCCAGTTAGCTTTTGGGTACCGTTTGGCTATTTTTAGCTTTTAGCCACTGTTTAGCTGATTTGAGCTTTTAGCTGTTTACTTGATTTAAGCTTTGAGTTTCATTTTATGCTAAATGTAGTAGGGATGCACGATATTATCGGCATGGTATCTGTATCAGCCGATATTAGTGATAAAGTTAAATATTGAACATCGGCCATTCCATCAAAATAACTCACCGATATTAAAGGCTTCTGTTTTAATTTTAATTTAATAAACTCTCAAGTATATCTAATAATGCACTTCTACTTATGCACGTGTCACTTGTGAACAGGTTGAGTTTAGATTTGTGAAAATGTACAAATGTGCACTGTTTGAGTGTTGTCATTGTGTTAGAGAGTAAATGTCATGAATTAATTTGACATTAAACATAATCCAAGTTGAAGAGTTGCATCATTTTCAGCCTCTTTTTGTCATCTGCACTTGGTAGCAGCCGAACTGACAAAGAGCGAGCAGGATAATGTGGTGTTTTAACTCCACAGCAGAGAAAGTTATGTAGCCTCTGTAAGTGGGTCTATGGGGAAAATATCGGTATCGGTTATCGATCAAATAAGTTTTAACATATCGGATATCGACCAAAAATCTAACATCATGCATCCCTAAAGTTTAGCTTTTAGCTCTGGTTTGGCCAACATTAACTTTTTCAACAATTTAGCTGATTTTAACTTTTGGCTACTATTTAACGTCTAGCTGCAGTTAGTTAGTGAGGAAGAGGAAGATGACTGGCTGTGGCGACTTCTGAAAAAGTAACAGCTAAAAGAGAAAAAAAAAAGGAAGGGACAATTTTTTTTTCTACAGTTTTGCTGTTTTAAGCTATCGGCTACTGTTTTACTTCAGCTGTGTTTGTTTGAACTTTAAGAGCTAAGTGTGAGCGTCGCCTTTAGTCTTCAGGCTCTGCAGTTAAATGAAGTAAACATGAGATAAACTGCAGATTAGCTTTTAGCCTTTACCTCAGAGGTTGTAGAGTTCCTTGAGCTTTGATATGGAATAAATTCAGATGGTTTGTTTTTGTTTCCAGCCTGGTGTGACGTGTTCAGGATGTAATGAGAGCGCTGCAGTTTGACCTGACAACGATTCATCCTCATCCTAACTTACATGCTGGCGTGTAGCTGTTTGTTCTGTAGTTTTCTATCAGTAGCTCTGTACTTTACTTTCTTTTTCTTTTTTCACAGCCGGATCGTCCTGCCTATCTCAGTGGAAGAGGTATGTGAATGTTTATGTACTCTACAGTAACTGTACACAGTTATTGACATCAACGAGGTGCACAGGCTTCTCTTATCACTTAGCTCTTGTCAGTATCTAACACAGATGAGCTGCAGACTTTACTTGTCTCACTTTTCAACACGCACCCACTGACGACGACAGTCGTGGAATTGTTCTTCCTGAAGCATTTTGGTGTTGTTTTCCAGTGGAAACGTCCAAAAAAATTCCAGTTCTGCTTCTTCTTTGCTCCTCTGATCACAGGGGGACAGGAAAAGGGAGATGAGAGGCTTCAGTCAAGCCTTTACGAAAATGTATTTTAATTCATTTGTTGCAACTTTCACTCATGATCAACAGACAAATAGAAAAAAAATCAAGCAATTTAATAAAAGAAGCACAAACATGATGAGGGTGAAATACATATTTGTTGGGGAGTGAACTTGTAGCACGTCAGGCCACTGGGAGTACCTTTGTTCATCTAATGAACTTGAATTCATCTACTTGTACTCGTAAGTGATAGCACTTCATGGCAGTGTGGCGCTCGCCTCCAGGCAGTCGGTGGTAGAGAAGGAGATGAGTGAGCCACGCGGAGGTATTTGTTGTTGTTGTTGTTGTTGTTTGTCCTAACCTACGCTCCTTCAGATGGTGACATAATGCTCTATAAGACCATAAACACCACCACAAGAAGAACAAGTGGTGCGAAGGTATTTTAAAGTGAACTAGAAAGTTCCTGGAGAAACTCTGATGGGGACTACCATGTGGCAGCCGTTTTAATTTAGTTGATTTGACAGTACTGTGTGTTGTGGCTCGCTCTCAGCTACCACTATACCAAATTCAGTTCAACATGGCAAAATTATTATTTTTTTTTAAATCAAAGAGTTTTATGCATTTTTCTTTGAAGCTATGGTGGCTGTGGATCTTGTATTTGGATTCAGTATGTGATTGGGAGGGTGGCATGGTGGCTCAGTTGGTAGAGCTGCTGCCTCTTAGCGAGAAGGTCACTGGTTCAAATCCTGGCCCGGGGGCTTTCAGGGTGGAGTTTGCATGTTCTCTC